GGGTATTAAATCACAAAATTATACTCTATCAATACAGATACCTAGAACGAATATTGCACTAATTAAATATATCAGTATTTACAATGAATAATAAAAACATATATTTACATAAATTAATAATTATAAGTAAATATAATGAGTCATTAAAAAATAACTTAAATAAAACAACACAAATGTAATTATAGGCGTTTTTCAATCCCAAGTATCACTCTTTTGGGCGAATGAAGAATTGTGCTCTTATTGAGCAGAAGCGGCACATCTGTGGCGGAAGTCCGCAAGAATCGGTACCTCTTAATCACTTGAGCCAATGCCAGCTTAGCCTCCATTAACCCGAACCGCATACCAATGCAATTACGAGGTCCGGCGCCGAACGGTATATAACTATAGGGTTTGATTTTGTGACGATTTTCGGGCAAAAATCTCTCGGGAATAAAACTTTCGGCCTTTTCGTACAGATCCTCGTTGTGATGGACCGCATAGATAGGGATTAGGTTGACGACTGGGAAAAGGTCACATTAGGGTCACAGCGGGTTGAACATCAGAAGTCTCCGGACAGCATAGTCTTATTACCGGCCTCTCACCTCTGCCTCCCAGAGACTCTACTGACGTAGGTTTAACGGAAGTCTCGCCAACACTTCGTAATCAATCTCTCCCTTCGCGTCCGTCGAAGAGATCACCTCTTCGTATAGTTTCTGTTGGCAAATAGGATTGAGTGCCAACTCGTATGAGGGCTTGCAATTACAACACCGGCAACAGAGTATAGGCCGGTGTTTCTTCTGGGTGCTGACGCGGTCCTAAAGTAGAAGCCAATATATGAATAGCTATCGCGAATTACAGAAAGAGAGGTGAAGAAAGAGTTCCTCTCCTATTATTAATTATAAACAATAGATAAAGAAATATATTAAATATAAACATAAAGTGATTGATAAAAAGGTTATACAGTATAGCGTAGACAACAAAACACTGAACACTTTACTAAATAGATAAGCAATTATGCGATAAACAGCAGTCAATACCTTCGTTCACATGATGTGCTTCACTGACATCGTTATCGTCGTAATGAATGGCATCTTTCATATTATGATTACCATTACTTTTAGTACTGCTATCCTTCTGGACGTTCATCAATAACTCGATGAAGTCGTTGTACTTCTTGTTACTTGTCTTTCGCTCTTTCATTATATGTCGAGTGATGTTGAAGAAGAACTCGTTGGCCGACTCTTCGGCCAGACTTTTCATATTTAAAGCCTTTAACACAAACGCCGGCAATAAAAGCAACGATAATATGCGAGACATCGCCGGTGCGAACACTTTCTGGGCGTTTATAATGAACGGATCGTTTGGGTCTTTATGTGAGTTAGTTTTGGTGGCAAAAGCGCAACAAGAGATCACATCCATTGTGTAGTTGCCATACATTGTCTTTATATTGACGTCCTTTTTGTTGTCGGCGTAAACGTCTAATTCGGTGACGAAGTCATCCAAACACTGTCTGATCATTGGATACATTTTCTTCATCTTCCCGGAGCTGAACGTCGGCGTCACTATAGATCGGATCCGTTTCCAGTCGTCGCCGCTTTCGGCCACCAAATGGCGGCTCAGAATCGGATGCCTTCTGGTGTTAGTGTTGCGATCCGTGAAGACGTTAAAGTCTTTCACACAAATCTGTTTTATGAGCTCCGGTTCGGCCACTATTAGCACCGGTCTGTTTCCCGAATAGATCCTATCGTTTGTTATTTTTAAATAAAAGCATTTAATAT